GTCCATAGTAGTACCCTCCGGGCTGCGGCTGCTGCTGCTGCTGCATCATCATCCCGAACGGTATTACCGCCGCTTGTTGAGGCATCGAAGGGTAAAAACCTGACCCACCCGTGATCTTAGCCATACCCATTTGCCCGTGCATCCCGTCTTGCGTATACTGCTGCCACGCCTGCTGTTCCTGCACCCGCAGATGCTGTTTCTTCTCCATATCGGCTATCTGAACGTACGCCGGCGGTGGAACTGTCAGAGAAGCGGAGAAAGGATCCACCGAGCCGACTGGCTTGACCGTTCCATCCGGTGCAGGCAAGGCTAGGATGGTCGTCTTGGTCTTCTCCAAACTGGGTAAGGCCACACTGCTCGAGCTCCCGCCTTGGAGCTGAGCCGAGCTCACATGCTGGTTCACCGCTCCTTGGTCATACATTCCATTCAGAAGTATCGGGTCCATTCCCCCGCCTAGGTCAGCTTTCTGTCTCGATAGGTTACTCGCTGTTTCGACCAGTGCGAGTTCCCAGTCGGGTTTACCAATCTCGGCAGCCGGGTTCTGCCACGCCGATTTTACGTCTGACTCTCCATCTGAAGGGAATGCTTCCCACGAGCCGTCGGGTTTAACCGTGGCTTGACCTGAGAAGAGAGCCAAAGCCATAGTGTTGCCTTGTTCATCGGCGGTGACACCGTCATCTCTCAAGTTCACTAGATCATCTGTGACTTGCTGTTTTGGCTGCGGTTTAGGCTGTTCAGGTTTAGCCATCGGTTGTGGAGGAGGAGGAGGCGGTGGCGGATTGTGATTCTCTGGAGCAGGAAGAGCTTTGATCTCGTTCATATCCGGTTCTTGCTCTTCCTTCTTCTGAACCTGAGATCTCACGGGACTCGTCGATCTGTTCTTCATGTCCTTCAATATACTTTCGAAAGTTGCCAGTGACTCGTCGGTTATACTCTGAACTTCCGGGTACTCGGAAGATCTCGCAATTCCCGTATCTTTACACCAGCTGTAAAACCCGACAAGCTCATCAATCATCTTTGCAGAACCCACATACGCATCAAAACACTTGACAGCATCTCCATATTCCATCTCGATGAAACTGTTGAGTAGAACACTTAGTGCCTCGCATATCGAAGTATACAACCCGAAACTCTCTCTAACAACTTGATAAAGAGCAACAAGCACCAATCTACTGTTCTTAGCATAGCCTGTCGGTCTGCAAGCCAAGACCCTACTAAGTATCTTCAACAATTTCTCCAAATTGCCCAAAACCCTCTCTGGCTTCATTTCCCTAATCGGGGTGCTCTTTTCTCTCCCCGTTGTTGCCGATGATTCACCCAAATCACCGTAAGACCTCGACCTCCTACCATAATTATCTCGGCCCTCTTCACGATCACGCCAATCCTCCTCGAATTTCCCTTCTTTTCCCCTCGATCTCCTCTCCGATACCTCGAACTCCAGCTTTTCCTCAAGGTACATGGCGTAAACCCTAACAAAACCGGCATGATCCCATGAGTGTGAATGAGCCTCATCCCTGAAATCTGCCATGTTCAAAACCCTCAAACCTCTCCTCGTTGAGTAGACAATCTCCTCGCCAAACACGGGATTCCCGTTGGACATCAACCGGTGCACGAGTATCAACGCCTTCACCGCAACGATCCAATCCCTCGTCTTGCTTAACCTCTTCGAAACCGTGGCCACACAAGCAGTCACATAGTTCCTAGAATACGACATAAGATTCATGATCTCTCTCAGATACTTCTCATCAGCAGGTTCATCATCATGCGTTGTGGCTTTCACCACCAACACCTCCAGATCTGGAGCAATGTTCCCAGCCACTTTCGCCAGACTGATACTCGTCTGATCCTTCACCGCACCAATCGCCTTACGGATCGTGCTTGGCGCCATCACTTTTCACCAAAAAAAGGTCGAGAAATCTTCAATACCCAATCACGGATTCGGCTTCAGAAATCGAGATCAGCTGAAAAATTCAAAATTCAGAGAGACCCAGAGACGGAAAACGAGTTAAACACGTTTCAGAGGGGGTGCGCATTACCAGTCCAAGATTCAACAATGACGGGTTCAAATTCAAAACTGACGTTTGACCAAACCAATCAGTATCACATAGACATACATGTAACTGATGAACATTTCTGGGAAATGGGTGTGTGAATCATTCGTTCGAAAATTGAAATTGGGCTATCGGTTCAAGGCTTTACCCACTCATGCAAGATTCCGGCGTCGGCGGGTTCACTAGCGAATCCAACGGCGGAGGAAGACCGGTGTTTTGACTTGGACGGTGCAGATTGAGTCAGTACTACTGGAGAATCTGGTGAGATTGCGCGGATCTAGCGAGAGCAGAAGTAAAATCTCTCTCTCTCTCTCAAATCTCTTTTGCAGAGATCTCTCCGTAGAAAACGGGGAAGAGGAGATTTTGTGTAAAGCGCGTAACGCGAGAAAAATTGATAAGAAAGGATCTTTTTTGGCCCCCGTCTTTGAGTGGAGGAAACGTCGTCGTTTTCCTCTTTTCTAAGAAGCGTTCAAAAACATTATTGCACAAGAGAAATTAATAAAAATTATTTTTTTAATATCATAATAAAAAAAAGTTACTTGAATATGTTTTCTCATATAAAAATGAAATTTAAGAAAAATAAAATTATGTGATGGGATCGAATATGCTTATTTAATAATTTCTTATTGAACTATTATTATTATTATTATTATTATAAAAAAAAAAGATCTTCCAGATTTATTACCATTTTTGTTAATGCAGAGTTGTTATTGTTTTTTTAACGGATTTATTAGCAGTTTTGGTATTTATTTTCCATATTATTTTTTTAATAATCTAAAAACAAAAATATTATGTTTATTGGCAAGCAACATCCGATATAAAATCAAGTGTTTCCTAATATTCTATGTATCGAAAGTGTCGGAATATATATTATCATCAATAAATAAAAATATGTTCCCAATTTATTTTTATATGTCTTTTTGCAGTATTATATTATATTCTTTAAAGACATAAAAATCCAATGGATATAATGTCATACATAATCCATTGGATTTTCTTACAACCGTATGTCATCATCCCATATTATTTTAATCCTGTTGACCAGTCAATTTCAGTATTTCTCGTCAAATAAAAACCTTTTTATATTAAAATGTGCTCGGGGGTAAAAAAAAAACAATAATTTCAGTTACTAAAGTATACGACCAAAAAATTGTGGTAAAAAATAGCTTCAAAATAAAAGCAATTTTTTTTTCTATACGAGGAAAAAGAAATAAAAATATAACTTGCTTCTAAATCTTAAAAATTATTTCATAATTAATGAAATTAGAAAACATGTCATATATTTAAGTAGAAAACTAGATTTTGCAAAAGATAAATTGTTATGCTAATATATGTGATTTATTTTTAGAAATTTCAAATGGAAATAAAATCTTGAGCCAGTAAGTATTCTTTTAGGAAAAAACCCTAAATATTTAAAAAGTATCCAATTAAAACCTTAATTATTTAAATAAGGCCAAAAAGGCATTATTTTCTATTAATATCCAAAAAAGTTATAATCTTTATAAATTTGTCTATTTTTAACTTTAATTAAAAATATATTTAAAATTGTAGTTTATATGGTTAACATCTTTAACTTTTTCTATTTTCTTAATTAAATTTTATTTTGTAAACATTTAAATTAAAACGTCTCACTAACTATAAATTATTATAAATTTATATTTGACATATTCAAATTTTGAATTCCTAGAAAAATTATATTACCTATTAATAGTGATTCAAATAGAATACAAGATGATTTTAAATTAATTTAAATCTAAATTATGCGAACCGAATAAGGAGTTTTTGCTCATTTGTCATTTTTCTATGGATTTGTAGACAAATGACTTGACAAAAGAAATTTTGAGTTGTAAAAAGAAATCTTTTCGAAATAAAATCTATATTTAGTATTGATTTATGAAAGGAAATTAGTTGGAGAAAAATAGATATACGTTGAAAGTCTAGGTTTTTATAATTTCGAATTAGAGTTTTTTTAATTAAAGATAGAATTTAATTTGAAAATAAAATAAAAAAGCTAACGGTGTTAAATATTATAAGTCAAAATTATAAACATATTTTAATCAAAGTTAAAAAATGGATAAATTTAAAAGTATTAGTGGTTTTTGTAATGATTTTTTAGAAACTAATGGTTTTTTTTGTTTTATAAATAGTGCGGATTTTAATTGGATCCTTTTTAAAAATTTAAGTTTTTTTGGAATTTTTTTCCTCTTTTTAAAGTCTAATGAAGAAGTTTTTGTTAGAAAAATATATATATATATACTTTGGATAAGATTATTACATGTAATTCAAAAGAATAGTATAAATATTTACCATTTTTTTTTCTTATTTTTAATTTTTTACTATTTATTATTGTTTTAATAAAATAAATTTATTTATAAAAATCAGTATGGCAGTTCCTTCCTACCTGAGTTTCTTGTTTAGTCTTTCCCGCTTCTTTCCTCGTCGAGTTCACTCGGCCGGCGATGTTCATCCTCCGAGTCCACTCAGTCGACGCCGAGCGGCCAGCCTCCGTTGAAGATGACATTTCCGGCTTCATCTCCGTCTCCCGGAGAGCTCAGTCGGCCGGAAACCCTAAATTGACCCCTAAACTCAACGAACGAAGAGGCGTCGTCCACCTCTACCGAAATTCCTCACGGAGCGCGCTCCCAAATCCTAATTCCCGTTCCAGCTCCCTCTTCGTTCTCGCTGTCCCAAATTATTTCTCCACCTCTGATTTCGTACGGTTTTGTGATTCACACATCGACAATGTCTCCGAGTTCCTCTTCTTCAGGTTCGAGATAGCAAACTTCCATTTTAAATTATTTTTTTTGTGTGTGTGGTTTTTCCAGATTCTGGGTTTAGTTGATTATCAAGAAATCTGATCATTTTTATGCTTCTTGACATGAAGATAGTTCCCATTTTCATCTTTTTTTTTTCTTTTGGTTATCCTGATTCTGGGTTTAGTTGATTATCAAGAAATTTGATTGTTTTGATTCTTCTTGACATATGGAGATTTGATTTCATTTTGAATTGAGAGAAAGGTTTTTGATAGAGAGCACAGTGTGGAAGTTGAACGACTTGGTATATTGAATGTTATATGGCACCATGTTGACAAGCTATATAGAATGTGAAGTTCTGTCATCTGGTTGAGAGTGATTTATGATCTACAACTTGTGTTCTTCTTTGTAGCATGATTGATTATTTGCTATGTCTCTGATTCGGTGTTTCGTGGTAAATTTATAGGAACGACGAAATGGAAGATCGATATAGTGTTCTTATCACGCTTCCTGACCAATCGACAGCAGATGGACTCTACAAGAACTTGAATGGCAGACCTTTTGCACCATCTGAGGTATATAGAATAAAAGCATTTGGAAATGGCATTCGTGATTATGGGTTTGGTTCGTTTCCTTGCATGATACCGAGTTTCATTGTGTTTTAGGCCGAGATCTGCCATATCCTTTATGTACTATCCGTGGAATACACGGAATCCGATGAGCTTGCTGGTTCCCCGCCTGCAGGATTCACCGAGCTACCCACCTGCCCAATATGTCTTGGTGAGCTTTACGAGTTGTTTTCGGGTTCTTTCTACTATATTCCTCTTCTAAATCTTTGTCTGGTCTAATTCCTTTTGAATATTGATGTTTTGGAATTTGATTCCGGCAGAGAGATTAGATCCGGACACAAGTGGTGTACTCAGCAGTTCAAAGTGGACTTACCTGTCCTGTCAGGTGAGCTGCTAGAGTTAGATATGGATTCCCCCTCATGTGTTCATTTGGAAGTTTGCTCTCTGCTATTGCATATCATGCAAACTTTGCATTTTCCTGGCTCAAAATATGTCTGATCAATCCACTTTTTATTAAAAGGAAGTATGCTTTGTACATGTTTAGCTCATTTGATTCTGTTTGCAGGTTTGCCGGTTGTGTCAACAACAGAATGAGATACCGAGCTGTTCGATATGTGGAACGACAGAAAACATATGGACATGTCTTGTATGTGGCTTCCTAGGTTGTGGAAGGTCAGTTGAACTTGAATATGAACACATCCTGATATTCTTCAGGTGTAGAACTTCTTCATTAGAGAAATGTCATTTTTTTTTCTTCTGGACTGTAGGTATAAGGAAGGTCATTCCATCAAACACTGGAAACAAACACATCACTGCTATTCACTCGATTCACGAACGCGACAAATCTTGGATTACATTGGCGACGTTTACGTTCATAGATTAAACCGGTCGAAGGTTGATGGAATCAGCAGATTCGTCTTTGACAGCAAAGTTGATTCGGTAAGATTTCTTCTCTCACAGCTGATAAATTTTTTTCGTCTCAATGCTCTTTTCTCTCTTTTGCAGATTGTAAGAGAGTACAACGACCTTCTCATAAGTCAGCTGAGGGCACAAAGGCAGGCAAGTTAGTTCTTCATATGCTTGTTTCTTATTTTGCATCTCAACAAGCATTGGCACTGTCTCAAAATAATGCTGAATGATGCCGTTTTCAGTACTATGAATATCTGATTATAGAAGCGAGAAGAAAACAAGAGATCAACGTCTCTGAGGCGATAGAGCTGGCTGTTGCTGCCCAAATGGAAGAGCTTCAAAGCAACATCGAGAAATCTCAAGATGATAAAAATGGCGTCGCTGAGGTGACTCTCTCTCTCTCTTTTTTGTGTTGTCGAGCTTCTTAGGTAAATGCCCTGATACTACTGTTACCAATTCTGGTTATAGGTCAACAGAAACCTCGTAAAAGACCAAAAAGCTTTGAAGAAGATGGCCAGGGACATAGAACAGAGGTACAAGTTCTTCGCCGATCCTTTCCCAACCCCATCTTCTTCGGCATACATCCAAACAATATCCATCTGTCAAACGATTTTTATCTGTTTTCAGAACCGAGATTTCGAAAAGTTTACGATAGTTTTATTTTGTTGTTTCTCCAGGGAGGTTGCATTGCTGAAATCAAAAGATGAGACAATACTTGATCTTGAAGAACAGGTAAAATTCTTACACTTACTTTTGTTTGGTAATGCCTGTCTCTGTGAGACAAAACTTGTGTTCAAGTGGGTGATATTGTTCTGTAACACAGATTAGAGACATTAGGGTTTACATCGAAGCCCAGAAAATCGTCAAGGATATGCCGGATTCCGACACGATACGTGAAGGAACCGTCCTACCGATCCCTCGCAAAGAGCCGTCTTCCTCGTCTCGAAAGAAAAAGAAGTCGGGCCGGAGAAGGAATTGAACAAGTTTCAGAACTGGAAAAACCGGGCCGACGTTATTTTTACATTTTCGCCATGAGAAGAGCTCAAAGCTCATCCGTAACTGATGTGATCACTGTGTAAATAATACGTACGTGCAAAAGATGAAAAAGAGGCAACAACTGATTACCCAAAAAAAAAAAGTTTGAAGCTTTCAGTAAGAGAAAGCATACAACTAAGAGTGATGTTTCTGTTTAACCAAAAGGTTAGTGTCCACTGAGACATGACTTAGCTTTCGAGGGTTCAGTTTTTTCACCTTCCTCTTCTCGCGTTGATCGGACAAATTTACATTCAAGAGAAGTTATTTCTCATCCTAGGTTGTGAAAAAAAAAAAGGAACAAAGAAGAAACCCTAAAGCCGCCATTAAAAGCTGCAAAAACTTGCAAGCCACAGGCTAGGAGAAAACCTTGGTCTACATCAGGCTTTGATTGATTACTCTAAAAAAAACTGTAGGAGTTTCCATATATTCATCTAAAAGGAGGAGTTCGAGACGAGAAACGCAAAAAAAAAAACGATCAACGCGCTTGCAAGAGGGGGGATCGAGCAAGGTGAAAACGTTTTCACCTTTGATGTTGTTCAGAGGAAACTACTCCAGTAGCAGAGCTTGGGCCGGCACTGTCTTCTGCAGGAGGTGAGCTTCCCCATTTACTTTCTGTCTCTAATGGCTCGAGCACCTGTACGCCTCCGTCACTGAGACCTAATGCAAACTGGTTTGGGTCTGATGGGTGAGCCGCTATCACGAGAGGGTATACCCTTGAGCTGCAACATTGTTTCGGTTTATATTTTATTTGTTTGTTTGGTTATCAGGTGAATGGAAAAGAGAAGACGAAAGAGGCATGCATACCTTGGGTTGGAAGGCAAATAGGCCGACGGGTTTATCCGACATCTCAGCCTGAGATTCGGAGCAGTGAGGATATCGACTTTGCCATCTTCAAAGCTAACGTATATCGACTGGCTATCGCAAGAATATGTTGCAGACGTGATCGGACCGCTTGCTTCAAGGGGAAACCACTGTTTCATTGTTTGGCAGAAGAAGAAGAAGAGAGATGAGTCTCATTTTATCAAATAGCATATCGAAAAACGACTGTTCTTAAGAAAGAATGCAATGCTATGGAATATGAAAGAAGATATAGTGGACCTGCTTCCAGCATTCAAGCTTTGGAGCGATGTATATGGCTACTTGAGTTTCATGAACGACAAGAAGATGAGTCTGATCGAGATGGAACTGGACGCGGGTATCAGACACAGGTGGCATGGATCTTCCATTCGGAATCTGCAAAAACTTGCTAGCTTGCTTCTCCCATCCATCCGTGTTCCAAATGCACAGCTGAAGACAAGACCGTAAGCAAATTATAAGCCCGGCTTGACTAGCATGAGCAAAGGGACTGCCATGATGTATAAAATTTTCCCCAGAGTTTGCAACATTAAACATATCTAACCTGAGAATCGGCTCCTGAAGATACAAGAACATTCAGAGTCTGTGAGAAAGCAAGACCCGTTATTCTTTTCTGATGACCTTTCAACTTTGTTTTCACCTGGCAAGTGTAAAGACCACTAGATTTTATCAGTAACCGGATATTTATTGATCACCCAAATAATGTAGTGTTTCATTGTAAGAAAGCCTACCTCATCAACTCGAACGTTGTAGATTTGGATAGAAGAATCTTCCATTCCAATGGCAATTATATTATTATCCTGAGGATGAAACGCCAAAAATGTTGCCGCTGGTGGTGGGGGCATGAAAGTTGTCATAGTCTACACAGTTACAAGGAAAAAAAACAACACAGCATGAAAACCTAAACACAAAAATAAGAATCTGTCGGGAAATTTAGATGCCACGATTGACAAAATGATGATCTCTACAAACTCAAAGCTTTGTCTATAACTGCTATCTGCTAGGGCTTAAATTCAAAATATCAATTAGCAATTTAAAGTAGATTCTCCAGTCTGGCAATGCAAACACTAACCAGCCTGCCAAAATCTGACAATAAATTTAGATTTGCACGCAGCATGCTGCCTTATATCAAACTAGATTCCATAAAAGGAGAAAATCTGAATTTCCTCTCGTCTCTTGAACATACATGAATGACAGGGAAAATGAGAAATCGGGTCTTATTTAATACTAGAGATGTTTAATAGCAGGTTGAATGTCATCATGTTGAATGAAAATATAATCACCTTGAATGTCATCATGTTGAAGAGAGAAATCTTTCCCCCAGAAGCTGACAAAACATAGGAATCATTCTTGGACAAGGCAAAACAGGGAACAGTGTCTTCAGGATTGGTGTCACTTATGTCATTGGTCATCAATATCCCACTTGCAGGTTGCCACAATTGAGGTGTTACATTAGCTGTTGCCTAAAAGACAAACAAGGGAAAATGTCAAAAAAGTTTGCGAACAGAGATCAAATTAAGCAAAAATTATCATAACCTGCAATAAAAACATCAAGTGCACCAAAAAATGTTTAATGAAACACAAGAGGCCAAAGGAGACCTTTCCACTCATATTACGATCATTTTTCTGCCACTTCCAGAGCTTGTGTACCGCATTAGATGCCAAGGCCAATACCGCTTGTCCAGTATTTGTGTAAATTAATCTGGAAACCTGAAACCCCGGAACAAAAGTTTGAGAGAATGCTGACGAAAATTGATGCTCAGCTAGATAACAGTGCCAACTTCATTTAGCAAAGTATTTACCATAAACAATACGCAATCTATGTTTTAAATCAGACCATAAGTTATGTAGCAACTGCTTCCAACTTAAAGATGTTGATCATATCCTGCTATTGGGGCTCGCTTATGATCTAAAATTAGAACCCAGCTTACATATGGAAGCATGTTTTGATATAAAAGAGGCTACGGTTGACGAAAGTATGTATTACCTTTGTGGCCGTCAGACTATCAGGGAGCCTCACGGAGCGGCACTGACATGGTTCACTAATCTCTGTAAGTTTCCCTGTCCTAGATCTTTCCATTGGATCGTCAGTGATTCTAGGCTTCACTTCAGTCAGACTTCGGCTATCATTGTTCTGAACAAACTCAAATTCATGGGTCATCTACTACATAAGCAGCCAACCTTAAACACAAGGATACATTTGCAAGTTTAAATTTAAACTCACACTGCCATCCATAGCGGCAACAGATGCAGCTCTATCTGCCATACTTGTTCCAGCATTTGCACTTGGGGAACCAAAACCAGTCACTGTAGGGGCCTGTACAAAACATCACATTAATAAATTGATTATAATGTATTATCAGTGTATGTATCTCGGAAGCTATACCTTCATAACCGATGAAGGAGCAAATGGGCGACTTTCTGCTGTTCTCAGCAACCTAATTCCATCAGAATTTGCAAGAATTTTAATGCCATTGTCAGTAGTTGAGACAGCTAACAGTATCCCTTCCCTGTTAAATCTAATGCAAGGAGAAGCCTGCAAGTTCAAGTTTAAAGCAAATGAGTTAGCTGATAGGTGGAGATAAGAGAAATAGGTATTGCGCCAAGTTTTAACATCTAGTTAGTGATGATTACCGGTAAGCCACCATCTGCATGAATCGTTGTCAAAGGATTCGTGCTGTCCATGTCCCAAATCTTGATAGTAGACTCATCACCAGCAGCTAAGAACCTATTTTTGGTTGTGTCAAATTGCACAATCCCCACAGACCGTTTTCCAAGGCCAATATATGTTCTTTTCACAGCTCCTTCACTTTCATTCCACTCCACTAAGAATGACTCTCCTTCTTTGTTTGTCCCACAAGAGAACAGCCTATAAATTGCATTTTCTTAGTTTATATTTTGAGATAAAAAAAACTGGCAAAGAGATTCAAAGAAAGACCAAAAAGAAAGTTATGAAGGACGGGTGAACCTTGTGCCGTCACTGCTGTATGCCATTCTTGTTGAAGAATGGCCAGGAGCATCATAGTCAACTCTTGATCCCATATTATCATACAACCAAGCTTTTATCTTTCCATCAGTTGATGTTGAGAAGATGAACTGAAAACATGAAAAACAGAAGACATTAAAAAAAGATTGCGGACATATTCCATGAACACACCACTATGAGAAAACCTGTATACAAATCTTTGCCATGTGAAAAAAAAAACGTTTTTTACTGATCATATAAGACTGTTTGTAAGGTACATCCACAGAAGAATCACAGAACTTCTATCAGCTGTTACCTGAATGTTCTCCTTGTGATGCGGGCAAACAGAAAAGACTGGTGTTTCATGACCCTCAAAGGAAAACCGCTTTGCCCCAGTAACAGCATCCCAGACCTTGAAAAATTGTGCATTCAAGTAAGTCATGCCCAAGAACTAGTACATTGATAAAATATACGTAAGGGAGAAACAAACCTTAATCAATCGGTCCTCGCCGCAAGTGACAACAGATAGTTGTTTGTTTGGGTACGAAAATGCAAGGTCATTAACACTCCCAGCATGAGCCTCAATCTGAAATCCAAAGAGACTAAAGCTTTCAGCCTTCCAAACTATACGCGTTTCCTATTAATATTTTATGGGTAAAATATAAATGGTCCACTCTAGTATCTGGTTACTAGGCCTGACATGAATAAAAGAGCATATCGCCAAACGAACCTCCAGATGATTTCTTATATCACTGCCCCCATGGGAAGCGTATATGTGCACAATGCTCTTAGAGTATGCCACACCTGAAATATGACAAAATATCAAAGTCCGCATAGCACAAGTTTTCCAAGCTTAAAAATGTTTCCACTATCTGAATATCCGTATTTGATAATAAAGAACTTATCTACTACTCTAAACGAAATTCATACATACCAAAAAGTGTACCATCAGGGCTCCATGCCACACGATTCACAGATGCAGTGTAATCAGCACTAAGAGATGCCTGTAACGGAGATGAAAGTTTAAGCATTCTCTGCCAAAGCAGTAATTTGATACAGTAACATAATCCAGACCCCAAAAAACAAACCTGCAAAGCTTTCGAACAAACTTCAATCTTCCAGACCTCGAAACCCTTTACTGCAATCCTTTCTCGAGCACCCAACTCCCACAAGAAAACAGCACCCACAGCCGTACCAACTGACAACACAGACTGATCATCAGTATCTTTAATGGATAAAAATCCAGAGATGGAGTTACAAAACCAGTGCATACCAGCTGATGTCTATGCCCAACTTACCGAGGAGAAGAATTTGTTGAACCGGGTGGAAATCCATGCTCATGACAGGTGCACCCTGACTGAGAGTCGCAACAACAGCCTTGGGCAACTCATCAGGTGATAATGCGTTATGCCCATGGGCATGGCCGGGGTACGCGACTGGCAAAATGTTTACTGGAAGATTACCAGCCTGAAAAATGCATACATAACCCATTAAAAATTAGCCCATTAAAAACTAACTATCAACATAAAATTATTAGCAAAGCATGTTCCTTTAAGAGGATAACATATATCTCGTATAGGAAGCACCAATATCCTGAAGAATCCAAACTGCAGAACATCATCTCCCCACTCCGTTAGTTGAACGGAAATCGTTGTTTCATAAATCATTTTCCCTACCATAAAACCTATTGTAAAGTTCTGGTGACCACTGGACAAAACAGCCACAACACATTGTAAAATGGCTACAACATGGAGCAAGAAATAAGCAAACAGCGGGATTAATTTAGCTACAACAAAACAGCCACAACACATTGTAAAATGTCTAAAACATGGACCAAAACATAAGCAAAAGCGAGATAATTTAGCTACAGTTTGTCCTATAATGACCTACTCATAACCACCAATCGCATACCTACTCCCACACCCAAAGCCCAACCTAGCAAAAATCGCTCAAGTGAGTTTATATGTGTTCAGTTCAATTGTTTAAACATTATTATTCGCTCAACAAAACTCACTAATTGACACATACACTATTGCTGAGTGCCTCATCTGAGGCTCCGAAAGGCCTTGGTCTCTTCACAATATGTTCAGAATCTGCAGTTTGATACTCCAAGGCACCAGGGGGGGTCTTGGGGCGTTTTAAGATACCAGCTGAAGCAATAAACAATTGAAGTAGAACAGTCAGAAATCTAAATTAAAAATCTTGATTAACTGGGAAAATGTTGACTTGATAACCAAGACCCTTTTTGTGTGCTATGGCGTAAAATTAACACGAGCATGCTTCTCGTTTTATTTCTTTCATTCCTTATCCAAAATCCTTCAGATTTTTGCTTTAAAAACAGACTGGTTTTTGAACCAATGATAACATTCAGACTCGCAGATAGGTGAAACAGGTACCTGCACTGTTCGGAACAGCCAGTCCCATGGGACCTGCGGAGGCAGAAGGGTGAGGCATGGAAGATGGATTAGCCATCCATCCAGCAAGAGGCGTTGGAATTGCACCTGGTGCAGGCTGAAATGGCTGCAAAAGATGTGCTCAGAAGCGAAGATAGAAACTCATAATTCCATATAACTTTTAAATGTAACTTCTCCAAACAACACTTACACCATGAGCAGACAATGGGGGAAATCCTGCTGCCTTTGGCACAGAACCCATTAAGGGATTTGTGACAGGAGATGGAGCACGCGCACCATTTGGTAGGTTGCACGTATGGTCCACAAATAGAGTTTTGATGTCAGGATTCTGCCTTGGATTCTTACACAACTGATGCTGCCAGTTTAAACTGCAACCCATTTCAAATAAATGTCAAACGTGTTATCATTAGAGAAGAGCATAAACAGACAATAGCACAGAAGCTAGTCAAAGAGAGAGAGACATTATGACACACGCACCTTTGGTTTATCAAAGTCCGCAACCTGGAACTCTTGAGGGCAGGAAACTGAAGTTTCTCGCGAAAGAGTGGATTGGCCTCTATTAGTTTCTTTAATTCGCCAAGCATAATACCTCTTGCTGTCTTTGTATCCCCATACTTAGACAGCTGCTCATTGTCTCTGAAATTGACATCAGCGAAGAAATCATCGCCAACACGATTCATAGCAATATAGCGCTTCCCTATCACTAAAGCATTCTATAACCAAATTTTGACGAGCAAAGCAAACCGAACCTAAAGTTCTCCAATGTTAACAGCTGGGTAATTTCCTTGAAGAGATCTTCGTTAAATGTCGCGAAAACCTTCAGATCCTTCACTAAAATCTCCACTGCCTTAGCACGGTCACGTCTGCATTTACCAAGAGAGTAAATCATTCAGAAAATCCCATTTCTGAAACTACAACATCCCACCATATTCATCCACATTATAACCAAAAAAACGATAAAACTCACTTGTCTAAAGCTTCAAGATATTTCTGCTTCCGGATTTCAAAGAAAATTTTCATCGAATATCTGTTGTCATCAACCTTTGTGAAGCCAGACAGATACTTCTCAACCTCATCCCACTCACCATTAGTCACCAATTCCTCAAAGTAACGCAAATTGAAGTAAAAACCTGACTCCTGCTCCAATCTTCACAAAACCCACCACACGAACAACACAAACATTGTCATAGAATCCAATTTGAAATTACAAATGCATTCAACAAAAAAACAAAATTTGCAAACACGGGAACAGCATGAGAAACCAAAACAGATAGGAATTGAAGAATACCTATGAACAGTCTCCTTGAATTTCTCCTCGTCGAGAAATTGAAGTATTAGAAAAACAAGCTCTCTGCTTAGTGAGGACATGACTCGAACAGCTCTGGGAATAAGATTAAACACAAACATTAAATGAGATCTGAAGTAGGAAAAACCTAAAGCACAACTTTGTCCGACATCCAAAAAAAAAAGCATTCCATTCCATGGTGGAGAAGAAGAAAAAAACAATATTAAATCAGGGAAAGAAGTGCGATAATTCAAGTCGTAAAACTCAAGAAAGGCCGAGAGGAATAGCACCAAGAAAAGAAAAAAAACCCAGAAAATTCGCAAGAACAACAAGAAAAAAAGGACGAACAGAGTCGACGAACTTACATGGAGGAAAATGGTTAGGTTTCTTAGATCGAGGGACTTTGGGAGAATTTTGGAGGAAGGAGAGAGGGTTCTCTCTCTCTACACTTTCTCTCTCTAACCTTTTTTTTTCTCTTGTATCTCTTCTGGGAAAGTATTTATATAGAGGTAACAAAATGAAATTAATTAATTTTTAAAAAAAAGAGAGAAAGATTAGGGATTTTGAATCGAAGAGGAGAGAGAAAGAGACGCTTGATTGAAACTGACAAATTAAATATCGCGATACGATACGAGAATAGAGGGAAACAATAGTCATGGCCCCGATATTATAAGTATTTCTGCTTATACGGTGATAGGTTGATGGTCACGTGTTAATCGTGATAAGTGCTTGTACTTATTGACACGCTGGAGCATTCATGCATTCATCCAGCTGGATTTCAGTTATTTAGGAAAGTGTCATTAACTTGCTAATTTGCCTAATTTTCTCACCGTTAAGAAAATAACTATAATTGGAAATGTTATCATCAGTTAATAATTGGGATCAGCTTGGTTATTTTGGTTCGAGTTAAAAATTAATTGATTACAATTTTTAAAAATAAAATCAATGGAAAGTAAAATATATTTTTCAAAAGTGAATATTTTTAATAAAAACTAAATTTGGGCATACAGAAATTTGAAGAATATATATACTAAATTGAAAAAGTCGAATTATAAATAATAAAATATATAACAAAAAAAAGATGAAATGTCTAATTGTTAATCATATTTTTTTCAAATCTATTTATAGTTAATTCTCTTGCAAGTGTAACAGATCTGGCATTAATGATTTGATGTCTATCTCCTAGACAATTCTTCCTCTTAAATTGGAAAATAATTTTTTTTTAATATATAAGTTAAGTTAATTAATCTTCTTTTTACAAATATGATACTGTATTTTTTGTAATATTCAATGAATATGTCCAAAACCACGATATCTAAAGCAACTATTTTTTAATATATTCCATTTACCAAAAAAAAAAGGTATTTTTAATATTCCAACGCTGTTTGAATTTCAGCAACATACAAGTTAGTGACATCTTTATATGGACATACGATTTTTAAATTGTTGATATATATCCATCATGTTCCATTTTGTGTTTTGATTCATTTTACATTATTTAGAAGATATATGCTAGCAAAAAAACAATTTTAAAATGTAAAAGTTAAATTATAATATTTTTATTTTGAAATCACTAATCTTCATAAATTTTATATTGAAAGTCTCAAGATTTATTCTTGTAATGAATTAGAAACATCGTGTTTTGAATTTTCTAACAGATCAATAATATATATATATATATATATATATATTAGTTTTAAATATTTTTATTGATTGTAAATTACTATTCATGAGAGACGCGTGACCCCATGCGCTGAACAAAGAGTAAACGATGGTGTTAAGAGGCAAATCGTATGATTAGGGAAATCGACAACACTTGGGTGCATTTTGTGTTTTTTATGGCATTATTTGAATATTTAATTTCCTAAGCTTTTTCACCAATTTCCTAAATTTAAAAAACCTGGAATTTTAGGATTTATGCCGATAAAGATGGTGATTAATAATAATAATAATAATATAATTATTATGATTATATTATTATTATTATTATTTTCATATATATATATATATATATATATATATATATATGCTCATGAGATATCCATAAAATTCATACAAAATTATAAATAACAAAAATATATAGAATTATTTTAAAACTTTTCCTCATAAATATTGCATATGTCTATAAATGAAAACTAAATAAGGATATATGTATATACATAAAACTACTCATGTCTAAATATGATATAACTACAACATATACATAAACACATATTATTGAACTAGAACTATTTTTGTGTGATTACAATTATAATTGAATTTACAAAAAAATGTATTCGGTTTATTATACAGAGAATATTATCATCAAATATAAATTTATTATAAAGATTTATATTTTTAGATGAGAAAAATAGAATTTCTTTAACGTATAGATTAACATTATATCCGATATTATATTGATATTTTATTATATATAATTTTAAATTAATAAAAAACATATAAAATTTCAAATTAAATGCATTGTTGTATTACTATATATTATATCCAAAAATGTTTTGAACATATTTTACCGTATAATTGAATTGATGATAGTCTTTATCAAAAACTATATAAATAATAAATGAATTAAAATATAATGAACTTTTGCGATTGTGTAAACAAATTTTCACCATAATTCTTTCGCATGTATTTTTCTGTCTGCCAAATTTTCGTATATAATTTTTTAATTATGGTCAAGTATTATTATATCTAAATTTAGATCCTCACAATCACAAGGCAGATACAGCGAGTATCGTTAATTGCATACTCGCGAGACAAGAGGCATGAGAGAGGAAAAAGACTACGAGACATTTTGTTTCCATTAAAGAAGATAGAGAAAAGAAAAAGATAAAGGAAAAAGGAAATAATCCCGCAGAGAATATATCGCAATATATCGTCCTTTCTTTTTCTCATTTATCGTATCGCGATATCATACATTTTACCAGTTACTACCTCGATTTTCTAGTCGCCGTGGAGCCATATGTCTATTCTTGTCGACGCAATTTTTTATTTTTTTAAATGGAAAATAACAAAAAATATCCAAAAACAATCTCGTGAAAAAGAATCTAAAAATATCCTCTTTCGATTTTAAAGTAAATGGAAAAAAATAGGAACCCCACGTAACAAATAATTAGTGTTTAAAGTTAATATATAATATATATGTGGATTTCCAAAGATCAATTGAGTTATCTTTAAAAATAAATTTCAAAATATTTCGATATAGAAAATATCAACACTCTAAAAATATAATTTATTCCATTATTATTTATTAAAATTTATTAGAATAATTAATGTAATCAATTAACTGTGTGGGAGTATAATTCTATATATGTATCAAGATTATTTGAATTTGAAAGACATTAAGTAAATACTATTTTGTAAAATAGACAAAATGGAGAGACTAAGAGAATTTTGTAGAATTTTTCTTGTATTATTTGTTCTGTCTTAAATTTAAATAATTTTTATATATGAATTGAGAACAAGGATGGAGTGAATTTGTCTATATTTGATCAAAACCAAACAAAACATTAAACTAAACATTTTACTAATAAAATCAAACCAAATTAATATTTAACCGATACATATTCTAATACGCTCACACAAGGTAAAAGAAATACAAACACTATAACGCACCGTTCAAATAGTTTATGGCGTCCAATTCCGAAATGAACTCTACGGCATGAACCGAAGTCACCACAGCTCGAAGAAAGCCTCCACGACTCAAAACAAAGACACTCATCAAGATCGGGCGGAGAGCAAATGACACGATCGAAAAGGGAAGAGAAAATTCGACTGGAATGAGTATCGATCGGAAAGAGAAGAGAAAACACGATCAGAAAGAGAGAATGATGAATAGAGAAACAATAAAATCGATGTCATTTTGGAAAATCGTCGATATAAGAAGGAAATGAACGAATACATAAAGAATCAATATGTTTCATCAAGAAATAAACTGAACCAATAAAACAATTTTTTTTTTAATAATCCAGAAATTCACCGAACTTTTCCCCCGACTACATCTTTCAGAGGATCGAGAAAGTCCAAGTGAATGTCTCTCTCCAAGTGAGTACTCAAACCCGCGTTGGGAATGAAATTTGCTTTCTTCCTTATCGGTGGGTAAAACAAATTTCATATATGAGAAGATGATGGAAAGATCGATCGTCATTGAAGGAGAGAAACAAGAAGATGGTAAGAAATCTAAATACCAATAGAAGAAGAATGATGAATCATCGCCATTTTCATCTTCATATTCTTTGTCATCCATTTCAAGAGATTTGAAACTTTAAATATCTCAAGTTTTAAATATGTTGAATACGAATCAAGATAGAGACGGGTTACCCAAACAATGGGGATTTTTTGTAATTATTTTGAACCTCACGTATTAATACCACTTCACATTCAACAACAAAAAAAAGATAGAGACCGGATACAACTGAATATAATATCGAAAAATAGAAATTGAAATTTCCAGATTTACAATTTTCAAAATCTAGAAATATGATAGAAAAATAAACTGTCGTGTTTTTTGAAAAATGTATGACAATCACTATTTTCATAAAATCTGGCCTTTGTGTATTTTTATTTTCTTATATTAAGAAGATAAAAGAAATATTACATACACGATGTTAACATATTTATTTTTATATTTATGTGAGATATTAATTTAGTAAAGAACTCATAATTAACCTAAATAAATTTGATTAAAGTGTATATATATACTTGAGATTGAGATTAAAACCCAAACCTAACCTACCATATGGATAGAAACGAATAATTGACCAGTTAATAACCGATATTATTTTGTTATAACATCCCAAATAAACCAAATTCCATATGATTATTCTGCTTTCATATCCTATCAGTTATTTTTAAATTATCCAAATCGAACCTGAATATTATAATTCGATTCTGCTTTTCAAAACCAAACTGAAATCTCCAATCCTTAATTGCAGTGTTATTATTTGATCTAATGGTGTTAACAAGTGGTATGGGACCACAAAGTGTATATGTGTCTATATATACTTTGTTAAACCTTACACCACTTTATTTTTGTAACTGGATGTTTTGGGATAAAATCAAAACTAATCTCGGAATCGAAAGCAAACTATGTGATTGGAATTGTGTTCTTCTCACCAATTTGAGATTCGAACTCGGGTGGGACAAGCTTACACGACTTTGCCAAACGCAATTCACGAACTATCTCGTTACTGTCTCGTTTTATAGTGAGATAAACCAATATTTTGAAGGCTTGTTTATAAGCAGGCAAACTCGCCATAGCCGCGAGAATTGATTCGAGATATTTTTTAAAAAAATTTATATGTTTTTATATTTTTTAAAAAAATTAATATTTAATTTAATTTTTTTAGTGGCTATATTTGTATAACTTAACTTTGATATTTAAATTTTATGTTAAAATACTATTTATTTGGTATTTTTGCATAATATAAATACGAAATATTATATTTTTCTTTATTTTGTGAACATGTTTGTTTAACTCGTAAAATAGACGAGTTGAATCGAGTCAAAAAAAAATTTATAATTCATTTCAAAATGAGTCTAATAAGTTGAAAAAATAAATCAGTTCATTTTGATCTGAGTCAGACCGAGTTGGCTCGTTTGAGACTCTTTATATATATATATATATATATATCGCATCAGCATCAGTAACAACTTCAACTATTCTCATATAGATTGAGTAAATTTGCGCAGATCGAATGGAATATAAAATGAACCGTAAACATAAATATCTTCATCCATTGATATTATGTTGTATGAAATTCAACAACTTCACGTTAACTTCACGTTATTGTTAGGCTTAAGAATCCAAAAAATAAATCCTTATTTATAGTTTTTTTCTCCATCAATACAAACTGCATTAAAAAAATCTACCAACAAAACCAAATAAGACAGAATCCTTTTTAAGGTTCTTCTCGGAGGCATCCTCCGGGCAGGAGAAACCGAAACCGATCAGCGTTCTGAATCAAATACGCCGGAAGATGAACGGCGGATGCCGAATGAGGGATCGAACCCATCTTCTTGATCAGTTCCTTGAAGCTGTATTCTTCCGGCAGCATGTCGAAGAGATCGTCTCCTCTGCAAATCTGTCTCTGAATCCTCGAAACATCGAGAAAACCCTTCCGCCTCACTCTATCCGCATGGCTATAGGCTTTCATCTTGAAGACAAACTCTGTCAGATGTCTGAAACAGAAGCTGCAATGCCAACCCGCGTCAGAAAATATGACGTCGGATTGACGGGAATGTCGGTATTGCGTCCTCCAGGAGTTATAAACGTGAACCGAGGCTCTCCAGCTGCTGTAATCGACAGGAAACTCGAAGGAATACATGTAATCTTTCAGTTCCAGATGCATTATGTTTGGTATTCCATCGCACCATTTCAAGAACTTTACCGTGTGAGGGCTCGGGATCTCGTCTGTATCGGACATTATGACGAGATCTCCGTCTCGTACGCCCGCTCGTCCGAGCAATCTGTTCATGGCGATCCGTTGTTGCGATTCCAGGACAAACGGGTCCTTGTTCTTCCCTCGAGGGCGTATCCTCCCCGGGAAAACCCCGTGGACGATTTTGCCCTCGGCGAACGAGAATCTCGCCCTGTTGGAATCGAAGAAGAGAGGTTTCGGGATACCTGTGAGTAGGGTGGAGAATTCGGTAAATAACCGAATAGTTGAACCAACCGAATTGAATAACACATAACCGTAATCAATTAAACCAAATATGATATAAAACATATGGTCATGATTTCTCTAGAACCGAAAAAGCCAAACCCGAAACGAACCAAACTAAATAAAAAACCAACACTTTATTTGAAAAATGAGTACTTTAATCAATAAAAACCGAAAACCCAATCAAAACGAAAACGAAATAATCAAACCAAACCAAACCGAATTCAATATAAAACCAAATGGTTACCGTTTTTCTAAAACTGAAATAACCACCCCTACCTGTGAACGTCGTGTTGGACTCGAGGATCACAAACTTCGTCACGTAGGGTTCGAGTTCCGACCATCTGATCTCGAGGATGTCGAGCTCGTTGCTGAAGATGATGGCATCGAAGATTCGCCTTGCCTGAGACCGTAGTGTCCATCCATGGAGTTTACATAGATGTTCCATTGAGACATTCTCGGCGTAGTAATGAGGTATTATATGTTCAAAAGGCGGAGGTGGTTTGTCCCAAAGGGGACGGAAAAAATACGAAATGGTTTGGTAATTTGAGAGGATACCGAACAAACATATCGGGAAAAGTATAAGAAGGGTTATGAGTAGGAGTTTAGGGGGCAATCTTCTCGGGGATATACGTAAGGATCGGATTCCCATTGCCATTACCATTGCCTCATTTACATTTCCGGGATTTTTCAAATCAAGCTTCAAACACTGAATTCACCCTCGTTTATCCACCTGCATAGAACAAAATGGACCGACAAGAAAAGATTAAAACTTTCAGAAAGACTTTAACAATGTTATTACGTAAACAAGGAATCTCGAAACCGCTCGTCTATTAGAATTCTCGGAACACTCCTAATGTGGTTTATACACAGCAAGCGAGCGAGCAAGCAAACACGAAAAAAAGTAAGGAAAAGCAATCGGAATATAAAAATCTTGATAGGTAATGAAAAAATTGGAATCTTTGTATGCATTTTCATACCGAGTTTCAAAGAGAAAACAAAATTTCACACCGAGGTCAACCACAGATAAGAACATACCATACCAAGAACTCCTCGAAATCTCGAGAATGTTTCCCATCAAGATTGAAGTGAAAATCTGTAATCAAACATGTTTATCTTCTACTCCCTATCCAGATTTCCGCTTATATTATGTCAACAACAATCTTGATTGCTCATGGGATTCGCAGATCTCGTGTATGTACACAAGAAAATGCATAATGATTCGTACATACGCGACAACATTTGCGAGTTCTTGGACCAACACACATGATGTCAGTTCGAGAAACCGAATCAAATGGTATCAAGAAACAGAGTTCAAACCATCAATCGAGCAATTGAAGAGGAGGTAAACTGTAACAATGGGTGTTGGGCCAAAATCATCATCCTCCCAAATCAAGGAAGCTATAAGATCTTGGGATTCGGGCATTAATCAAGCAAACCCAAATTCGATTCCTTTCTTCAGATGATCAAACAGAATCTATGAAGTTGAGAGCTTTGAGCAAAAAGGGAAGAGATTTACCAGAGTTCCACGTTTGATTTCATGATGGAGAAGAAAGATGCGAAGCATTAATGAAGACCCAATTGTAAAAATTACCTACTCAGTGCCTTAAGAAGCATTAATCATCCGCATTGAATGGACCCTTCAACCAGAGAATCTCTGGTTGAAGTTCAGAGAAAAAAAAAACAGTAACCCTAAAAACCCAACAAAAAAATTTCACCCATTCCGCATCAGGAACCAAGCAAGAAGACGGTAAAAGAACCTGATTGATGAGAAAGGTTTCTTCTTTAGAGATTTCGTGCTTCAGAGGAACTTACCCACATCGAAATCCATCCACACAGAGCAGATTTCCAAAGGAAAATTGAATCCCTCTGCAAATTTTTAGCTACACATCAAGTCATATACAAAGTTACACATGCGTGTGTAGAGAGAGAGAGAGAGAGAGAGAGATAGATAGATGATCAGATCAGGATTTGTTTTCTCTCTCCAAGACGAGACTGTCTTAGGAATCGAGATTCAGACCAAACTCGCACTCTCGCTGTCGTTGACTGCTTCAAGGTTTTTTTTCTTCACGTTTCCAAGGTTTTCTTAAAAAAAATGCCGATGATTTAATTTTTTTTTCTATATTATAATTTGAATTAGAGACGACCAAAATATCGGGAGAGAGAGATAAGTTTGATTCTGAATCCGGGTGGAAGACATGCATCCTAGTAGTTACAGATGTTTACTTTATCTAGTCAAATGACCTTTATACCCTTTTCTTTTCTTTTCTTTTCTTTTTTTCCTCTTATGAATTAATTATATAAAACCACATTATTGAGTTTGTCGTATATTTTGAAGGACAGCATATAAAAACAATGCGCTTACTTTCCTCGATTTATTTTACGCCTCTTCTCAAATTAGTAAATTTTTTTTTTAAAGATATCACTTTTATTAAAAATCCTAAATAAATTATAAATGTTGAAATTTTGAAAGAAATAAATCAAATTTAATATTTGAATATTTAATTTGATAGTTTATTACTAATTCTTCTATTTCTGGTACCTCAAAAATTAGATAGGGAAAATTATAAAAAATGATAAAACCTATAGGTTCAAGTCATAAAACCCATTTCCAAAAGATATATATTTTGATAATATTACTCTTTCCGCCACTATTACAAATTTACAATACGGTACGGTACGTCATCGCCTCATACGGGTTCTTCCGGGCCCACAAATAAAACCGGTATGTTTTCAAATTAACAAATTAATGTTTTTGTAACCTTGAAATGAGGTTTTTACTTTTTACCACATTGCTAGGACAATAATTATTGTCACAATATGCATAAGTGACAGTAGTCCTGTATTTTACCATTTATTGAGGGCGATAAAATAAGCCCAAGTACCAAAGTAAAAAAAAAAAAGTTTTGTTGTCGTCGTCATCATCATCATCATCAATTATTATTATTATTATTATTATTATTATTATTATTAACTGTTTGAAACTATAAAATGGATTATACGGCAGAGGATTCGGCCCATTGGGCCTACAGACAAAATATAAGAAAGATTCGATATGGGCCAGGAAAGAATACAAAAAGAGAGAAAATTATTATTATTATTATTATTATTATCACATCTAAATTGTGTCGAAATGTTGTGAACGCCCAATAAACCAAGTTCCAAAAAATATTATGTTTATACTAATTATGTCAATCATCAAATCCTTTGTATTTTTGTTTCCAAAGTTATATCCATATTGCATAGAAAATAACTCAAATATTTATACAAAAATTAACAAATGAATTAAAAAAAATATAGATGTAATAAAAATAAATAAGATACACAATATTTGACATAATGTTATATCTATTATTATTTTCAATTATATATTAAAATCTATATATTACTCTAATCATATATTCATTTTTCTATTTCAATATTTCTCAATCACAGTTAAACTCAAATTTCAAATAACAGAGATTTAGTTTTATTAACAATTAATTTGTGGCCGATTAATTGGCATCATGTAACACACTAATTATGAAATATTGATGCCAAGTTATGATATTTAGCACAGCCAAAAAAATGTATAAAAATATTTAATTATATTTAAAAAATTGGGTTTCATAAAATTGTTAAACTAAATTAATAAAATCTAGAATAAAATTGAACTCGAAAACTTGAAAAAATAATTCTTCAAAAATATTTTTTAAACCGTAAACAATAAAATCCAAAGTAAAAATGGAATATGTATAATTTTCCAAATATTATTTCATAATTTTTAGACTCGTCTTTATTTTTAAATTATGACGATCTTGACCCCTAATTTTTATTTGGTGTTTCTATGGCACCCCCTATCTACGGGGAAGAACCCTTTTTTTTTAATATATAAAACAGGAGTGGTGAAACAGAACTCCAAATCTAAAGAGATATTTTTTAAAAATTATATATTTATTCTAAAAATTAATTTTAGAAATAAAAATAATTTTTTTAAAAAAATCTTAGTGACAGGTATAAATAAAATATCAAAAACAAAAAAATAGAGATAATCCCTTTATTTCATGTAAAATTTTGTTTTTTTAAAACACTTAAAAATTGCCACTTATTTATTATTTTTTATACGAATATATCTTTTTAATAGATTGAGTGAAATTTGATTAAAAATTGCCACTTATTTATTATAACCATTCATGTTTATCCGGATTTAGTATCCGGGCCAATACATCTACAAGATTGTATAAAATCGCTATTAATTAATTTGATGATTAAAATTTATTTTTGTACTAAAATTTTGTCAAAATTAAACTATTAAAACAATTAAATTTTGTATTGAATTTTAGGTCGAACTGATTTTTTTATTCCAAATTCAACTAACTGATTTTCACTATTCATTTGTTTCAATTAAATTTATATTTAATTTTGTTTTGATAATTTTATTTAAAGTTGGTTTTAGATCGTATTAGATTATATTTTATTATCTCAACCTAAATAATAAACCAAATTAATTGATATTAAAAAAGTTAGAAATTACATAAATTGGAAAACTAAAACTGAAATAAAAAAAAGGTTGAAACCTTAGGAAATTAAAAAGTAGGATTTTATTATATACTATAAAGAAAAGGAATATTGTTATTGTATATAAAGATGAAGGAACACAAGAAAGCAAGTTCACTTTACTCCGAGATGTCTAAGGACATGTATACATACATCATCTCTAAAGTAAAGCGCTCCAATTCGCGTGGGAATATTAAAATAAAATTTTAAAATAAAATGAATTCGATCCATTATAGTTTGAGAAATTTTTTTCAATTAGAATAATAATTATGTTAAATCTTAAAATAGAAACATGCTCAAGTTGCATCATTTGGCTTAGTCTCAAGCATGAAGAATGTGTTCCCATTCCATGCCATATAATAATTACTTGACTAACCAAAGGATAATATATATATATATATATATATATATATATATATGACTACATATATATATATATGTGTGTGTGTATATATATATGTATATGTATATTTGATCGAGAGAGAGAGACTTATCCTCAGATTCTCAATAACTTTTAAAATAATTCACTTTAGTTAACAATTTCAATATCTTGGTTTGATGTTTTCTTTTTTGCCGCTACTGAAAATAAACAAATATCTCAACAAATATTTTTATAGTCTACCTTATATATATATATATATATATACACACACACACATTGGCGGACCTAAAAATATTTAGAATTGGGAGTATTTAGAGTTTTTTTAATTTGAGAGTGGGGGCATGTGTATATATATATATATTATGTAACAATATTCACTATGTTTCTGCGTATGTATAAGACATTAAACATTTTGAAAAGGATCAATTATAATTAATACATATGGTTTTTGAATGATTAAAAAAATATTGTAATTAATATCGACGATTCTGTAAAGACGAGTATAACAGAATATTTAACAAAACACCTTTTAGATTCATAATTATATTTTTTTAAAGTTGTCTTAAATTCTCTTGCACCTTCAACCAAGTGTGAAGTGTCCTCTCATTTCCTCATTGGCCACTATGCTATTGTGGGTTGGATATTTTAAAAAAATAGCATTTAAACATAATTTGAGATATTTTGACAAAAAAAAAAACATAATTTGTGATATTAGTTTTTCAACATTTGACTACGTAACCATATAATACACGATTAAAAAGGATTAGAGAGTGATTAAAGTGCGTAAATCAGGCTAGTTGAATCTAATTATCCAAAGTTTAATTGATAGTGAAGAAGAAGAAGAAGAAAACTCTAATCAAAAGTCCTAGGATCTGATGAAACATACTTCAAAGGCGTGAGAGAATCTGTGTTATTGGGGAAGCGCACGCGCACTTATCGGCCCAAAATCATGACTAATCCCCTCTCTTATACACCATGATTATCTCTCTTCCAATTTATTTAATTCTATATATATATATATATATGCTTTATGTATTATACTATGAACGCAACAAGCACAATATATATATTTACGTGTATATATATATATATGTGTGTGTGTGTGTACAATTTTTTAAACCTAGGTTTTGTAGCGGTGGAATAATCTATCACAATATCACTAAAATTAATCTAAATTATTTGATTAATTCATATAAATTAATGAAATTTATATTGGGCTTACATTTGTCCCGATAAAAAATCATACCTTTATTTTATTGTTCTCATGTTATCGATGCTTTGTCGCCATAGAAAATATAGTTACGGAGTAAAAGTAAAAACAATTTCTCGTCTTTTTTGCCGCTACTGAAAATAAACAAATATCTCAACAAATATTTTTATAGTCTACCTTATATATATATATATATATATACACACACACACATTGGCGGACCTAAAAATATTTAGAATTGGGAGTATTTAGAGTTTTTTTAATTTGAGAGTGGGGGCATGTGTATATATATATATATTATGTAACAATATTCACTATGTTTCTGCGTATGTATAAGACATTAAACATTTTGAAAAGGATCAATTATAATTAATACATATGGTTTTTGAATGATTAAAAAAATATTGTAATTAATATCGACGATTCTGTAAAGACGAGTATAACAGAATATTTAACAAAACACCTTTTAGATTCATAATTATATTTTTTTAAAGTTGTCTTAAATTCTCTTGCACCTTCAACCAAGTGTGAAGTGTCCTCTCATTTCCTCATTGGCCACTATGCTATTGTGGGTTGGATATTTTAAAAAAATAGCATTTAAACATAATTTGAGATATT